ATACTACATACGTCACATTTGAATGGCTTTTCACCAGTGTGTGTCCTAATGTGCTTGACAAGATTGCATTTCTGAGTAAAACGCTTTGGACAGAGGTCACAGCAAAATGGCTTTTCACCAGTGTGGTACATTTTGTGCGTCTTTAGATGAGCCGCTTTTGTAAAACTCTTCTCGCAGACTTCGCATGTGTAGGCCCTGTCGGTTCGTCGCGACTTTGCCTGCAGAGCGCCACTCGGATTGCTGTTACTTCCGCTCCCGCTGCCGGTGTACTTCCGGCCGAGCTGCTTCTTCCGCAGCACCTGCGAGGCCTTCTGGTCGTCCTGCTGTTGGTTCTGCACCGGCTGAGCGTCGCGGGTTCCATCCCGGACGGCACGAAGAACTGCTGAAGCACCCAGCTTTGATGCGTCGCTGAGTCGAGATGCCACTTCATCTTCGACGCGCTGCTCTGGCTGCACCTCGCCGTCCCCAGGGTCACCCTCAGTGCTTGCCGCGTCCTCCACGGGGCACTGCTCGTCCTGCAGCGAGAAGCACGCCGTCACCATCAGCCCTAGCTGCTCGTCCTCTTGTTTGGGCTCGTCCAGCTCGGGGCCCTCGTCGACGGACCCGTCTCCAGGATCCATCTCGAGGGACGCCCCGCTGGAGGAGCTGCGCTCGCCGCCTGCAACAAGAGCACCGCGTCAGACACCGCCGCTGTCGTCATCAGAGGTCTGCCCCATCCCCACGACCACCAGCATGCGCGTACAACGTCGGAGACACTCCTGCCTGCTACTTGGCCCGCAAAAGGGAAGCTAGCCGTTCAAAGCGTCAAATAGGTTAAATTTCACCTCCTTCCAGTTCTAAGCGAGTCTCGCTCTACCCGCCGCCCCGCCCCCCACGCCCCTACAAGCCCTGCCCCCGGAGCGGCGCATGCTATCGAGCACGGAGTGGTGCCACTTTCAGGGCGCGAAGCCGCGACACGTCTGCCAGCGGCATCAGCACCTCGCGCTGGCCCCGCGGGACCATTAGCAGGCCAATGGATCGGATCACCAGCAGGACTCTGTTCACGCAGCTCATGTGAGGTACAGCCGACCGTCCTGCTTCAGCTCGATACGGTGGCCTCGCCAGGATCCTCCCCGGAGGTCGTCCTGCTGCTGGGCGAGGACCTAGGATCGCTACCTGGAACAAGAGCACCGCGTGAGACACCTGCGTCGCCAAGTTCCAAGGATTGCCACATACAAGCCGGTGTGACCGAGCAAGGAACAAAATGGAGGCGCCGCCGGGTTCATGAAGTCTATCGACACTTGTTTTTATTCGTTATGTAAAGAAATACAATGAACAGACAAAACTGTAATAATTACAATCATTGCTGAACAACTGATGTAGTTTTACAAAGTTTTAAGACTTAAAATTTAAATTGTTTTACAAATTGTTTTGTGTCTTTTGAAATTAGATATTAGACTAAAAGCCTTGCTACACACATCACAAGTGTGTGGCTTTTCACCAGTGTGTGTCCTAATGTGTTTGACAAGAGAGTCTTTCAGAGTAAAACGCATTTTACATATGTCACACTTAAATGGCTTTTCACCAGTGTGTGTCCTCATGTGCCTGACAAGAGCGCCTTTCACAGTGAAACGCATTTTGCACACGTCACACGTGTATGGCTTTTCACCAGTGTGTCTCCTCAGGTGAGCGACAAGATGGAATTTCTTAGTAAAACGCATTTTACACGTGTCACACTTGAATGGCTTTTCACCTGTGTGTGTCCTCACGTGATCGACAAGTGTTTTTTTTTGAGCAAAACACATTTTACATATGTCACACTTGAAAGGCTTTTCACCAGTGTGTGTCCTCATGTGACCGACAAGATGGCCTTTCAGAGTGAAACGCATTTTGCACACGTCACACGTGTATGGCTTTTCACCAGTGTGTCTCCTCAGGTGAACGACAAGATGGCCTTTCTCAGTAAAACGCTTTGGACAGAGGTCACAGCTGAACGGTTTTTCACCAGTGTGATACATTTTGTGCGTCTTTAGATTACTCGCACGTTTAAAACTCTTCCCGCAGACTTCGCACTTGAAGGCCCCGCCGGTGTTCTTCCGGCCTAGCTGCTTCTTCCGCAACACCTGCGAGGCCTTCTGGTCGTCCAGCTTTATGTTCTGCACAGGCACCTCGTCGTCCCCAGGGCCGCCCCTCGCCGCGTCCTCCGCGCGGCACTGCTCGTCCTGCAGCGAGAAGCACGCCTTCACCACCAGCCCCAGCTGCCCGTCCTCTTGTTTGAGCTCGTCCAGCTCGGGGCCCTCGTCGACGGACACCTCTCCAGGATCCTCCTCGAGGGGCGCCCCGCTTGATGAGTTTTGACCACCACCTGTAACAAGAGCACCGCGTCAGACATCGGCGTCGTCGTTGTCTGAAGAGCGCCCCATCACCAGGATCACCAGCATGCACGTGCAACGTCAGAGACACTACTGCGACAACAGAGCGACTTGGCCTGCAACAGAAAAACGAATTATAACAGTTATTTCACAGAATCGAAAAAGAAGATGGACACCAAAATGGGCTTTAAATTTTATGTAATTATTTTCAGTTCGTGTAGTTGAGGCGATCACCCGTTTCAGTGTGGCTAAACACGATTGTGTCAGTTGGCGTTCGTCCTGGGTCCTAGTAGGAAGGTGGTTGGGGATGGGCTCCTGGGATTGCAGTCCTGCGTGAACAGAAAAGAACATAGTTTCGAATACATGAAAATGGTCCTCACTTAAATTGGGATTAACATTTTATTTGGATCGAGTTTAAGATTGAATTGCAAGTTACACTTAAGTAGTATTGCTAAGTGCTTTACTAGTGAGAAAAATACAGCTAGAGTAGCGAACTACAACAGCCGAAGCCGCCGCGCAGAGGTGACATGGGGGCGCGCGGCCTACCTGGAGGGGGG